AGTCCATGGTGCAGCAAGGCTACAGCAGGCTCCCTGCCTATCCCAGCCCCACAACGTGCCTGGAAGTTGCTAAAATGGCCCCAGGAGTGGCGGGGGGGGCTCACACGCTGCCCCTCTCTGCTGGTGCTGCTCCCTTAGCTCCCCTTGGCCCCAGTTCTCCATTCCTGGCCAATGGGAGCTGTAGGGGGGAGGGGCGGAATGAGGGGCAGTACTTGCATACAGGAGCAGTGCATTGAGACTCCTGCCTCCCCACCACATCCTCCTACACACAACATGGGCAGGGGCAAGCAGGGAGACTGCTGAGTGCTGACTGTGATTAAGTAGGAGATTCTCAAGGACTGACCAGTTGCTGACCACTGGAATAGAGGCAAAGTGAACAATGTTGAAGAACAGCAAGTGACAAGAGAGGGAATGAGGAGTGAACAAAATAGTGTTTGATAAAAGCTTGATTGAGAGAGGTGACAAATGTGGTGCATTGAGTCAGTCCAAAAGTGAAGATCAAATGAAAAACTTATAGAAAGACAATCAAAAGCAGCCAGTGGACATCAACATGGAAATTAAAATTACCATAGATTCAAGCAGGATATTGAGTTGAGAGGAGGAAATGATTGGCATTGAAGTCAGTAATATGAAAGGATCTGTACAAAACATCTGCACAGACACAGAACAAGGGATCCTCTGAAGGTAGGGAGCTGTGGGGAGGGTTCTGGAGTAGACTAGGGGATACAACACTTACCTATGGCAGGCAGGGTTGTGGGTTGGCGTCTCAACATCCCCCCTGTCAGTAATTTAAACCCCACCCACTCTGGGAGTAGCCAGCCAGCCAGCCAAACATCATATTAGGGACCCACCAAAGGTGTGTGTGTGTGTGTGGGGGGGTGCTCTTGTGTGACTTAGGGGCTACAACATTCACCTGGGGTGCACACAGGGGTGGGTACAAGTCTGGTTCACCCCAGGAGGGGTGTAATTTTAACAATGTAGGATAGAGGAATAGGAGGAGAAAGTGCCAACTGATTAGATAGATAGAAAAGGAGTTCAACACTGTTGCCACAATGTTGGGAGAAGAAAAGGCCAGCTAAAATCACAACACGGAAAGAGGCTGTGTTACAGATAGAGAGATCGATTGGATTTCAATGATTGTGAGAAGTAAATAGGAGCTACAGGCTGTGAGTCAAATCAATTTCTTGGTATGGCACAGGAACTCTGGAACAGAAAGGCTGGTTAGATTAGAAGTTGGTGAACATAGGTGGTAATGTGGGAGAGGAAGAGGAGAATGGTGGGCCTAGCTTGGGAGAGATTGCCGGAGAATAGGCAGTAAGAACAAGATGGATATGAGAATTAGTGAGAGCAAAGGAAGAAATGGCACTGAAATTAAGTTCCATAATTCTACTAATTCTCAGAAGATTGAAACCAATGCCTAGTCACTTGCCTGATAACTACACATAGAAGAGTGGAGTGGTGAGCTATATTTAGAATGATGTATGGCTATAGGATGCTGTGTTATGTTGAGACTAAGGCGAAGAGGAAGGGGGAGGAGAGAAGTGCATTTTCCCAGTCTATTCCTCTCCTGCTGCCTTAAACATCTGAAGACCTGACTGTCAATTCTCGGAGTCCCTTTAAAAGAAGAAAGATGGCTGTCTGTCCACCAGGAATATTGTGCAAGACTGAGAAAAACAGTAGTTAGTTAAGATAGAAATTTTAAAGGCTGTCAGCTAAGCTTCCTCGGGTTCATTCCTGTTAAAATCATAGTACAGACATCAAAATATTCACACTGCAGCTTCCCTTTTGCTATTGATTTCCATTTAATGCTGGATAGGCAATTTGTTAACATTCATTATCTTTACAAGTCAATATACATTGCTAAGTGCAATACACATGGAGAAACAATACATGCTACTTAATTTAATCTGTTTAAATGATAAATTACTTTAGAAATTAAACATTCTTTGGTTACAGAACAGCAGTAAAACTAGCTGTGCTTAATACTGTACATGCATTACCTTGGTACAAATTAGCAAAAGATTGTGACATTGTTCAGCAGAAGTCAAAATTCCTAACTTTGTTTTCTTTTTTTCCAGCTAACATACAATCATAAATAAATGAATCTCTGGTCTATTACAGAACCACAATTGAAGACTTAACTAAAGATTGTGCAGCAAGGGTTTTCTGAGGAGACAACAACAATGAAAAATAAAAAAAATTAAATTTAGTAATTGTTATATTGTAAAATAAACTACTATGTGATTCTTACTGAAGTACAGAATACATGAAAATAAATTGCATGTCAGTAAGTTGCAATGCTTTACAGATACTAAGAATCAAATCCTTAATATTAGAATGAAATAAAATGGGAGTTTACTGTTAATTATCGTACATGCAAGATCAGACCCCTAACATGAGGCCTTAGGGAAATTTGAATCTGTTGTAGAATCTTTACAACAATCATTGGGTTAAAAGCTTTAATAAATGCTATTCACTTATCTCATTTGCAATTTAAATTTTTAGATAGTTCATAGCTAATAATTTAAGGCCCAAACAAACAAGCACCCTGTGCCATTCTCAGCTCTCCCCCCCCCCCCTTTTTTTTTCCAGAGAAGTCAGTTCAAGGGTACTTTGACACATTTTTGATGGGCTGCTGTAGCCTTTCAGGGCTTTTGTGGTATGGAAGCAAGACTGTTGATTAAGATAAAATCTGTCTTTAAGAAACCTCTTTTGCCATGTTAAGTTTTCACTACTGTTTCAGGATTTTCTCCTTGGATGTCTCATCCCTTGAGGGTTTTACAAGAATCTAAAATTCGGTAAAGCAACTTAGCCTTCAAGGACAAGAGTATTAATTGACAGGGAAAAGAAGAACTGTGGATTCTGCTGTAATCAGGCCAGTCGAAAAAATAATAAGTAATTATTAAAGCCTAAAACTTTTATTATCTTTCCCTGCTCAATGTGCAGAGACATTAAACTTGAGAAAGGCTAATTTAGTTTTTGAGTGAACTTTTTCCGGGGATCTCTGGGCTTAAAGGTAAACAAAGGCAACAAAACGTGTAATTACAGTTACAAATCACTATTTGTGCAAGCCTTTAGAAATTCCCTTATTGAGTCAGACCTGTGCCTTTTGAAATCAATGAAAAAGCTGCCATTAACCTCAGTGGGCTTAGGATCAAATCTATAATGAACTGAGATCCCCATGGCAAAATAATGACTTTGTGGGAAACATTCAATTAATAGCATTCCATGCATCTATGTAGGTCCATCTCCTAAGATCCTGCAGGGGGGGGGGGGGGAGGCAGATTGGGCAAACTTGTGGGGAAAAGTGCAGCGGATGTGTAAAAAGGAAAAATAGCTATGCAGAGTGACTGCATAAACAGTGACTGCCATCCTCCACTAGTGTAAACACCCCAGCTCCCTCTGCAAAATACCAATACAATCAGTAAACCTGCTGAAACAGAGAAAGATGACAGAAAAGAATATGCTAGGGAGGCATCTACATTGGGCTTTCCCCCCATTTTCTACGCAGTTGCAGTAGTGATGTCAACACTAGTGTCTCATGTTATTTTTAGTGCCCTATGATCCAATTCTGCTCAAAGCTGATCTATATGATATGGTACTGTAAGGGTTGTGGCTAACAGCTCTTTGTTTAAATTAGCACTCCCACCACTGTCAGTGCTGGTGAAGCTGAACTGATGATAGCAAGAGAGGGAAATATTCAGCAAAAGGCCTCATGGGTAAAGCTGAAGTGGCATATTTCTGCATCACAGACAAAATTCTGTTTAAACATACTTTGATAATGTAATTCAGAGCATCAGTAAGTGTTTTTTATCTCCTCTCAGTAGAATCAGAGTCTAGCCAGTTGCCTTCTAGTCCGTGACAGCCTGCTACGGAGACTTGACACCCACATCTTCATACCCTCTGAGACCCTGTCTTGTAGCAGGGACATTTTCTGAATTTCCCCCCATGGTTACTAATACTCATTTAAGTCTCCAAAGTGGAGGGGGGGAGAGGATTGCGCAAAATGGAAGTGGCTATACTGCTTCTTTTTGTGCAAAAACCCCTTGCACAAAAAACATCAGCAGAAAATATGCTAATGACATTGCAACTCATGCTAATGAGTCCATCATTAGCATACTCTGTGCCGCAAAAACTTGTAGGCTATGTCTACGCTGCAGGCTTTTTGCGCAAGAACAGCTGTTCTTACGCAAAAACTTGTGGAGCGTCTACACTGCACACGCATTCTTGCACAAGTAAATTTACAGTAAAGCATCAGAAAAGAGGGCTTCTTGTGAAAGAGTTATTCCTCTACTCGCAAGGAATAAGCCTTTTTGTACAAGAGCTCTTGCGCAAGAAGGCAATGTGGACAGGCAACAGGGGTTTCTTGAGTAAGAAACCCCTATGGCTAAAACGGCCATCAGAGCTTTCTTGCGCAAGAGAGCGTCCACACTGCCATGGACGCTCTTGCGGAAAAGCACATGGCAGTGTGGACGCGCTCTTGCACAAGACCTTTTGCGCAAGAACTCTTCAAAGCAGTTCTTGTGCAAAAAGCCTGCAGTGTATACATTGCCATAGTGTGTATATATATAGCCTTACAGTCTCTACCTCTTACAGTGTTAAAGTAAGAGCTGTTGCATAATTTGCCGGTAAATAATAGACACACATTCCTTACAAGCTGTGTAGCTAAGTAGCCACTTAAGCCATCATACTCTTTTCTGTAAGATACTCTAGGTTAGAAGGTATAGATCAGGTGTTTCTCTAAGTGTTCCATGGGCCTGCTTTGGGAAAGCCACTAGGGGGCTCACACTGCTTTGTTTACCTAAAGGGTCCGTAGCCATGGAGACTTGCAGCTCCCATTGGCTCTAGTTTGCTGTGTCCAGCCAAGTTGAGCCTTGGGAAGTGGCAGCCCAGACCATGTCACTTCCTGCAGCTCCCCTTGGCTGGAAACAGTGAACTGGAGCCAATGATAGCCGTGAGGCTCCCTGGCTATAGATCCTTTAGGTAAACAAAGCAGTATGGGCCTACTAGTGGCTTTCCCAAAGTGGGCCCATGGAACACTTTGAGAAACACTGGTGTAGATAATAACCTTAGTTATTGTAAAGAAATCAGGAGCAAAAGACTGATAAGCAGTCCCACTTGCCCCTGCAGAAAAAAAAATCACCAGTCCAATATGTGCTTTACAGTGAAGTTTTGACTTTTCCAATAGGGAAAATGAAAGTGTTTTGCTTGGGTTTTAGACTCAAAATGCTACTAAATTATTCCAGGCTTCCTTTACAAAGACCATGTCAAAGAAACTCCCTTTTAAACCTGTCTTGTTCTAGGGAACAAGATTAAAGGACTGGCTCCGCCACTGGGCTGAACCAGAAACCAGCTGTGAAAGCCTCTCTCAGGAATGTGTTAATGAAACTGAGGGGAGAGACTGGATGTGAAAAACATAAAGCCTTATGCCAGCAAGTAATTCACTATTTCTTCTATCTCATAATCTAAAACAGGTTTAGCAGAGGTAACATTTTTCAAAAAGAATGTTGACAAGTGTATTGGAATTATCCTGTGGTGGATCTGATTTTTGTTTGACCCTTCAATATGTTTAATCACACTTGTGCTGGTAAAAGACACTATGTACTGGATTTGTTTTGTTTGATCTGCTTGGACTTTGCCATTGCAACAGCCAGCAAGACCCACATCTCTTTCCTCTCAATTTCCAAGCTCAACATTTAATTGGATAATTTGGAAATGGGTGTGACTAAAACACATTCCAAAATAAGGATCTCATCATTAAAATATTACAACACAAACTTAAAACATCTATTTATAGTTGCCATCGGGGTATTTAGCTTAGAACACCTACAAAATTATATAGCAAGTAGCAATAATACTTCTACAATATACAGAATTTATTTTTTGTATAGGCTATTTGTTTTTCTGTAAATCAGAATGGAACATTTAGCATATATTGTAAGTGCACATGAGTGGATGACCCTCAAAATCAAAACAAGCAGTTCAAAACATTTTTAATTAGCATTCACGAAATTATAGAGCCTATCTGAAATGCCAAGATTGTGTGTTAAAATGTAGGATTTACCATCCATAAATCATTTTTAATATAAAGATCCATATTGTTTTAGTAACATTTGTTCCAAGTAAAAAAGGATGGTGCCAATTTGAATGGGTTTGAAAAAAAATCACTGTAAAATACCCATTCAACAACATAGTATTGGGGAAAAATTGCAAAACAAATATGAAAACTGTGAAGATATTTTAAACCCAATCACTCTTTATTTGGAACTGTTTTGAAATACTCTTCCACTGAAATAGTGGAAACTCCTCCATACCAGTTCTGAAGCCAGACGTGCTCAATGTTCATTTTCATGAAGAACCATTCGTAGCTACGAGGCCACTTCCTCATACCTGGGTGCCTGAAAAAACAAAGAATTACAAAAAGGTAGCCAAAATGCATGTCTGGTGGACTTATTTCTTTAATGCAGTAGTTGCTGGCCTTCTTGGGCAACAAGATTGATTTACCTGAGTAAAACCTAGACTGTACCAGACAGCATCATTGACCTATGTTCTCCCTCACTTTTCTGAAGTTAGACAAGTGAACCGCTTCCTGTATGTGAATGACCTTGCACACGCAACTGACTTCAGGGAAAACAGAAGCCGGTGATACCGCTTAGCTTCTAATTCTTAGTTCAGTGATTAAAACACTTACCTGAGATATGAAAGGACTGGGTTCAATTCCCTCCTCCATCTGATGGGGAGAAAAGATTTGAACAGAGATCTCTAGCCAGTGGGCTAAAAGTTGCAACGTGGTGATGCCAGCACTGTCACCTCACTGCAAGTCTACATCTACACTGCAGGCTTCTTGCACAAGAACTGTTTTGCGGAAGAGTTCTTGCGCAAAAGGTCTTGCGCAAGAGCGTGTCCCTACTGCCATGTGTGTTTGCACAAGAGCATCCATGGCAGTGTGGATGCTCTCTTGCGCAAGAAAACTCTGATGGCCATTTTAGCCATAGGGGTTTCTTGCACAAGAGGACTTATTTCTCGTGGGGAGAGGAATAACTCTTGCGCAAGAAACCTTCTTTTCCGGCGCTTTACTGTAAATTTACCGTATTTGCGCAAGAACACGTGTGCAGTGTAGATGCTCCACAAGTTTTTGCGCAAGAAAAGCTGTTCTTGCGCAAAAAGCCTGCAGTGTAGACGTAGCCCAAGAGTTTGACTGGGACTAATCCAGTAGGTCAGGGTGGGCAATAAACATTGTACAATTTGTTTGGTTAGCCCCTGGTGGGCCTCTGGCACTTTGTTTACCTGTATCATGGCCATACACAGTTCCTACTGGCCACAGATCACTATTCCTGGTTAATGAGAGTTGTGGGGAGTGTTGCACACCAGGACACTGCTTCTCACAGCTCTCTGTGGGTGGGGCTCGGGAAAGAGGTGGGGTGGGACCTGTGGTGAGGGGGTTGCTCCAGGTTCCGTGTCCTCCTCCCTACCCCCCGCCCCGGGAGGGCTTTGTAGCGTTGTCAGCCCTGGTGCACCAGGTGGCATGGTCAGGGCACAAGCACGTGGGTAAGTCCCGGGGGGATGGTTGGGAAGAGCATCAGGGGGTGCTGAATAAGGGGCAGCAGATGGAGAGCAGGGAATGTTGGATAGGAACAGCGGCTGTTGGGGGTGGTTGGGGAGCAGTCGAAGATGGGGAGCAGGGGAATTAGACAGGAAGCTGGGGGGTTTAGATGAGGATGGGGGATGGTCAGGAGCAGGGGTCAGATAAGAGGTGGGGCCTGGGTCACGCCTGGCTGTTTATGGCAGCACAGCCTTCCCCAGCCTTCCCTACCAGCCCTCCATACAATTTTTGAACCCTGAGATGACTCTCAGGCCAAAAAGTTTGCCCATCCCTGTTCATCAGCCTACTAAGTAAAGAGCAGGCCTGTTACTTGTGGGATCCTCAGTCACAACAACCAACCCACTTACAATTTATTCATCTCAAAATTGTAGGTATTATTATATTACATAAATGTCATACAGACCTAGAAAACATTGCTTGCTTGGCAAATTCCATTTCCTCTGGAGGTACCATGACCATCTGTCCTGTGAGAGTCACTCTAGCACACCTTGGATCCTCAGGATCTATTATATTTTTTCTGCACACAGAGAAATTCATATATAATAGCTTGTTTTTTTCCAGCAGAGATCTTTAAGAAGCTATGAATATTGGCTACATACCATACTCTGGGTGAATATGAGCTCATGCAAGTACAATACTCTAATCACAGAGCCTGATTCTGTAAATCTTTGTTCACATGAGTAGTGCTATTCCATGGGATTGTTCACATGGGTGAGGAGTACTCACATGAACAAGAACTGCAGGATCAGGCACAAAGTTTGAAGCAAAACAGATTCATCTATTTTTTAACCAGGTTTCTTTAAATAGATTCATTAGTAGATGATGTCTTCTATCTATTCAAATTGTAATTGTTCTGGTCTTTTATGTTGGAAACTGATTTTACTATTTAACTTTTGTAGATGCTATTCTGTAGCAACAAAAATTAGCAGTAGCCATCCATGCACAGAACCAAACGTAGAATTTGTGTGTAGATCAGCAAATCAATTTTAAGGTGCCTCACTCAAGCACCTTAAAGGTCACCAATTCTTGTCCACCTTTATCAAACCACTATGCACAAGATTCTGAGGAGGGTTAGTGAGATGGTTAGCATATACACAACACCTAAATTATACCAAAAATGTATGTGTATGTAACTTTAGGCCTCTTCCGCCTAGCCTTCTGCTATAGACCCACCTGTTTGTTCATTTCTACCCTAGTTATTTATTTATACACTATCACTTGATCTACACTACAGAGGAAGGTGAACTTAAGATATGCAACTCCAGCTATGTTAATTACATAGAAGGAGTCGATGTATCTTAAATTGCATTTCTTGCTGTTCACTCAGTGGGAGATCAACAGGTGCAAATGTTCCCACTGGCTCCCCTTACTCCTCATGAGGAGCAGGACTACCAGTGCTGATAGGGGCACAACTCTGAGTTCAATTTAACAGGTCTATACCAGATCTGCTAAATCCAGCACCAGAAGATCACTCTTTCACATAGCCTAGAAAACATATACAGGCAGTCCCCGGGTTACAGACAAGATAGGGACTATAGATTTGTTCTTAAGTTGAATTTGTATGTAAGTCGGAATCAGCTTCCTGGAATCAGCCGCTGATCAGTTTCAACAGCGGCTGAATCTGGACTCCTGGGACAGAACAGCTGGGGCACTGCTGGGTAGGTCCCCGCAGGACCAACCCGGCAGCACCCCAGCTGCTCTACCCCAAGCGTCCCGCAACAAAAGCCTGGTCTGCTGGGGGGGGGCGCACTAGCTGCGCCCCCTCACCCCCCAGCAGACCAGGGAGACCCGAGCAAAGCCGCAGAGGCCCAGAGGTCCCGCCGCCTCTGCAGCTTTGCTCCTATCTCCCTGCTGTGCTGGGGGAGTCCCCCCCAGCACAGCAGGGAGACCTGAGCAAAGCCGCACAGGCGGCGGGACCCCGCTGCCCGTGCGGCTTTGCTCCTTTGCCACGGAGCAAAGCCGCACAGGCGGCGGGGTCCCCCGCCTCTGCGGCTTTGCTCCTGTCTCCCTGCTGTGCACAGACCCTGTGTGGCTTTGTTTGGGTCTCCCTGCTGTGCTGGGGAGTTCCCCCCAGCACACCATGGAGACCTGGAGCAGCTTTTCTCGCCCCGGAGGACGCGGTGGTGGGACCGCTGTGCTCTGGGCGGTTCCGCCGCCCACGAGCTCCAGGGCGAGAAAAGCCCCATTTGTAAGTGCGGATCCGACATAAGTCGGAGCCGCGTAAGTCGGGGACTGCCTGTAAGCCATATCTGCACAAGGAAAAGAACAATAGTTTTGCTATTTTTTAAATAACTCTCCGTTACATTCTTAATTCATTCAAATTAGGGGGGCTCTTTACTGCTCTTCAGCTGTATGCTTGTACTGTAATGGCATTTAAAATAAATTACAGGCATAGCTATGGGACTGACATAAGAACGGCCATACTGGGTGAGACCAAAAATCCATCTAATCCATTGTCCTGTCTCTGACAGTGGCCAGTTCCAGATGTAATGGACAGAATAGAGCAACTTCGAGTGATCCAGTCTCTGTCATCCAGTCCCAGCGTCTGTCAGTTGTAGGGTGAGGAAGACCTGGAGCATTAGCTTGCATCTTTGAGCATCTTGGTTCTCTGTTACATTGGTAGAAATGAGGAGTAACTCCACTGCTAGTGAAATAATTAACAAAAACCCCACATTGTAAGGGCCTAATTGCATGAGAAGTTGTCTGGCTTCAATTTGCATTGGATTCACCAACAGTTGAAATGCACAGCACCTCACATTGTTGGATCCTACGTGACAGCTTTATCAGGTCCAAAGATTAACATTAAGAACCAGGCATTGCAGTTGCTGTTTTCAGTGTTTTAACTTGAAGAAGGAAACTGCAGTAAATTAAGTCTGAGCTGCTTGCAGTTTTTCTCATAGATCTTGACTTGAACTCACTAGCCCCAACTGTATATGCAATTTGCATATTACTTTTTTCCTTTCAATTCTGCGTATATTTCTGTTGCATGCAGGAAACATATGGGAGTATTCCTGCAGCTAATTTAACACCTCAAATACTCCACAGACGGTAATGAAAAACTGTGTAGCCTCTTGGATAAAGTGTCTGCTTTTATACATAGGGCCAAGAACTTAAATATGCCAGGAAATATAATGAACTGATGCTCAGCTGTGCCCAATAAGCATTAGGCACAGCTGACCGCATGAGCTGAAAAGGTACAAAATGTGGTTCTCTTACCTCCAAGATGGCTTTCTATCATCCCCTGGAGTTTAGAGCAGCCTCAGAGGTCCTAAGAAACTATTATGCTCATTGAGATCAATGAGCACCTTGGCCATGTCTCTTCCCTCACCTTCTGCATTCAGTGGGGAAAAGAAGTGAGACTAGAGTTGGGGCTGGGATCCATGTAGGGTTTGTTTGTTTGTTAATTTAACATTGGTTTGTTTAAAAAAATCTAGAAATCTATAAATTTTCCAGCAACAATTTTTAGTACAAATTAAGGAACTCATATTACTTTGAGCACCTGGAAATCTATATTTCCCTGACCAGATTCTGCATTCGGCTATGCCAAAGTAAATCCACTGAAGTCAGCGTAAATCTACTGAAGTCAGCCAATTTACACTGCATAACTGCAGTTCGTCTAGTCTTTGACCGTTTGTGTTTAACCTTAAGAATGCATTAGCATTGTCTTATTAGTTATTAATCTTTTTAATAAGATTAGTTTGAAAAATAAGCAAAAGGAATTTTTAACACACAAATAATGTACCTTAAATTAGTAAGCTTTTTTCCATCTGCACGCAAATGACTGTTTCTTCATTACATGCCCATCAGGTATTGAAATGGGAGTAAAACAATCGAACAGTCGATAAGAGCAAATTAGTTTAGAAGGGGATTTGTTTGGTATAGCTTAATTATTTGTTGCAAATTTCTTACATGTAGAAATAAATATAAAATTATATTCTTTTTAACTGGAAGGTTAGATTTCACAGGATGGATGGCGGTGAGAGATTTGAGTTAACCATGTGAGTTATAATAAACAGCTATCAGAGAACATGTTAGGTCCCTCTTGCTAACTCTTTTAGAATGGAAGAGAAATGTGTACATAAAACAATCAAATAATTATATCTACATTTTTAGTACTGGCCTACTTCAAGAGATATGTACCTCAGTATCTAGAATGTTTGAGCTTGTACTTTCTCCTTGACATTTTCCTTTGTTTCCACTGTTGTGCTTATTTTCACACAAGACGACAAGACTATTACTTTTTGGAATGGTTTCTCCAAACTAAAGTTTGTATATTTCAATATTCAGATTAAGGGGGTAGAATCTTTTTGCTGGCAAATTAGCAAGCAAATTTTATGCAAAGATTAAATTGGACAAAATACTGGAAAAGCTGAACAAGGACAGTGACACATCTGAACTTGGTACACTATGTTGTTATACTGCTGGCATGGCTTTTATCACCAGCTTTTATCTTGATTTTCCATTTCATAACAGTTAACTTTGTATCCTACTCTTACATTGGCACTGGTATTTTTATCTAACACAAAGGTTTAATGTTTTGAAAGAAATTTCCTTTTTGCATTTCCTTTGCTGTAGCATTCCCCTCACAATGTGCTTTTTTTTTTCTTTCCAAACCCACATACAACCACTAAGTGTAGCTAACACAGTTCCATTGCCCCAATTCTGAGCCTCCCACTATAGAAAAGATGTGGATGCATTGGAGAGGGTCAAGCAGAGGGCAACCAAAATGATTAGAGAGCTGTAGCACATGACCTATGAGGAGCGACTGAGGCTATGTCTACACTGTAGCCTTCTTGTGGAAAGCTTATGCAAATGAAGTTCAGCATGGAATATCACCGCGCTTCATTTGAATAATTAATGAGCAGCTGTTTTTGCGCAAGAGGCCTTTGCGCAAAAAAGAGCGGTATAGACGGCTCCTTTTTGTGCAAAACCCTCCTCTTGCGCAAGAGCCATTCTTCTTGCACAAGAGGGGGTTTTTGGGCAAAAAGGAGCCGTCTACATGGCTCTTTTTTGCACAAAAGCCTCTTGCACAAAAATGGCTGCTCATTAATTATGCAAATGAAGTATGGCAATATTCCATGCCAAGGTTAATTTGCATAAGCTTTTCCGCAAGAAAGCTACAGTGTAGACCTAGCCTGAGGGGTTTGGGTTTGTTTAGTCCAGAAGAGAAGAGTGAGGAGGGATTTGATAGCAGCCTTCAACTTCCTGAAGGGAGGTTCCAAAGAGGATGGAGAGAGGCTGTTCACAGCAGTGACAGATGGCAGAACAAGGAGCAAAGGTCTCAAGTTACAGTGCGAGAGGTCTAGGTTGGATATTGGGAAAAACTATTTCACTAGGAGGGTGGTGAAGTACTGGAATGGGTTACCTAGGGAGGTGGTGGAATCTCTATCTCTAGAGGTTCTCAGCTTGACAAAGCCCTGGCTGGGTTGATTTAGTTGGGATTGGTCCTGCCTTGGGCAAGGGGCTGGACTTGATGACCTCCTGAGGTCTCTTCCAGCTCTATGATTCTGTGATTGC